TGTATAAAATTTGATAAATACATATATTGTGTGGCTATATAATATTCATTTGTATGAGAGTTGTTATCTGTTGTTCATCATCGGGTGGTTTATCCAGGTGAGCCGGACCTTATTAATTCGGAGCGTGACAGGTACAATTTGCAAGATATATGAGAGCACCAATTGCACTAAGATATGGTACTTCAGGACTAAGGAGTTCTTCATTATCTTCTCGAGATCAAAAAACATCCTTTTCACATCAAGAGATCAAACAACCATAGGAGTACTCAAATGATGAGCTTTATCTATATTAAAGTTCTTTTATTGTATATGTTGATTGATGTACAAGAATCCTATTTGGCAAATATTCGATCTACAGACAGAGACAAAATTTTGTTTTGTCAAGATATTTCATTTCAAATTCCTTCTTAAATATTTTACAATTTTTGTAAGCTCTTCTAGAGTTCCTACAAGATTTAAATCATCAACTTATACTGCAACAATTGCAAATCCGAATTCTGATTTCTTAATAAAAATGCATGGACAAATCAGATCATTCACATATCCTTCTTTTAACAGATATACATTGAGCCGATTATACTACATGCGTTCAGATTGTTTCAAACCATATAGAGATCTTTGTAGCTTGATTGAATAAACACTTTTGGGTTTTGAATTAGATACTTCTGGCATTTTAAATCCTCCAGGGAGTTTTATATATATATATATATGTCACTATCTAGTGTTCTATATATATATATATATATATTGTAACTACATTCATTAGATGCATATCTAAATTTTATGTTATTACCAAGCTAATCAAAATCTGATTGTAATTGCATCCATTATGAGTGAATATGTTTCCTCATAATCAATACCAAGTCTCTGCGTTGCATCCATTATGAGTGAATATGTTTCCTCATAATCAATACCAAGTCTCTGCGAGAAACCTTGTGCAACAAGTTGTGTTTTATGTCTTACAATTTCATTTTGCTAATTGCGTTTTGAGAACAAACACCCATTTATATCCCACAGGCTGTATCCCTTCAAAGGTTTGGACTACAAATCCAAACACTTAACGTTTTGTAAGCGAGTTTAACTATGCTTGTATTGTTTCTTTCCACATTGGCTAATCATTTCTCTGTTGACATTCCTCAACAGTTTGTGGTTTATTGTTATCATCACTTTTAATAATGTTTTCAGCATTACTTCTGGTAATGTCAAGAGCAACTTTAAACGAAAATATGTTGTTGACAACAATCTTATTTCTATCTCAAACTTCTCTTGTACTCATATAATGTATTGAGATCTCATTATTTTTAGGTACCTTTTCCATTTCAGGAAATAACTCTTCAGGAGATTTCTCTGCTGGAGGGTCTTCTTCTAGAGGTTCATAAGTAGGAGATTTTGATAGACTTATTATAGCTTGTTTTGCGGTTCTAACCTCTTCAAGGGTGTTTTCATTTATGAGTATGATCTCTCCAAGAGATCTATTTATGGTTTTTTCTAGAGTACCAACTGTTTGTTCTTGAGTTTTTCTCTTTCGAAGAATTTTGTTTTTTGCACTGATAAGTCTTCCATACTTCTAGTGTGCTTTAGACTCATTTGCTACTATGCCTACTGATTGTCCAACAGGAACATCAATTCTTGCTGGGGTATTAGCTGCTGGTATATAAGTTTTTGTCACTGATTTGTAATACTTTGCAAATGAATGATCCTTTGAACTTCTAGTTCACTTTGATTAGTATGAGAATCAAGATGAGATATCGTCAAAGTATTCTAAGTAATTTCCTATCGAGCTTCAAGCTGTGGCTTGTCTCCCCCATAATGATGGGAAAATTGTTTCATCCAAATGACAATCCTCAAATTGTGTCTTAAACACATCACCAGTCAAAGATTCTAGATATCTAATGATTGATGAAGAATCAAACCAACATAAATTCCAAGTCTACGTTGTGGACCCATCTTAGTGCGCTTTGGAGGTGCAATAAGAACATAAACTGCATAACCAAACACTTTAAGGTGACTAACATTCGATAGTTGACCAAATACAAGTTATAATGACGAGTACTCATGATATGCAGTTGGTCTGACACGAATCAAAGATATTGCATGCAATATAGCATGATCCCATGCTGAAACAAGTAATTTACTTTTCATAAGCAAAGGCTGAGCAATCAACTAAAGTCTTTTAATAAAAGATTTAGCCAAACTATTTTGGGTATGAGTGTATGTAACATGGTGTTTAATATCAATGCCAATGGACCTGCAATAATTATCAAATGCTCGGGATGTAAATTCACTGGCATTATCAAGACGAATTATCTTGACAAGATGATCTGAAAAATATGCTTGCAATCTAATTATTTAAGCAAGGAGTCTGACAAATGCAACATTACGTATAGAAAGTAAACAAACATGTGACCATTTAGTCGATGCATCTATTAAAACCATAAAATAATGAAATGGTCCACAAGAAGGGTGTATGGGTCCACATATATCTCCTTGAATTCTTTGCAAAATGGATGGAGATTCAATAATTACTTTTGTAGATGGTGGTCTGGTAATTAATTTCCCTTGTGAACAGGAAGAACATGGACAATTACTTGGTAAAACAATCTTCTGGTTCTTTAATGGATGTCCATGTGAATTTGTAATTATTTGACGCATCATTATAGATCCTGGATGCCCGAGTCAGTCATGCAATAGCATAAATGTTTTTGGATCAGAGCATTTCTGGTGCATGACAATATATGACTTAATCATTTTTATTGTCGTATAATATAATTCAGAGGAAAATGTAGGAAAATTTTCTAATACTAGCTTTTGGCTAGAATTAGTTGAAGTGATCAATAAATACTCTTTCTAACCTTTATTTATAGTTTCAATATGATAACTATTATGACGTATATCTTTGAAACTTAACAGATTTCTCCTGGATCTGGTATAATACAAATCTTCATCAATGCAAATTTTTGTTCCATTTAACAACATAATAGTGGCTCTTCTGAAGTCCTTTATTAGGTTTGCAGAATCTGAAATTGTATTGACATTAGCTTTTTCCCATGATTCATTGTATAAAATATTTTGCATTACGTAAGATTGTGTGTGTGGTTGCACTGCCCACTAGACATATATCATCACTAATCATTTTGGAGTTAGTCAATGTATTAATGAAAGCCATGCCTATAAAAAATTGAAATTCATTATTCTCAAAACTCAAAGCAAGAAAATCCAAACTGTTAAATCCAAAAATACAAGCTTCACTATCATAATCAAAATAGGACAATACATTATGATATCTAGAAAATCAAGTTAATTAGTATGAACATTTCCATCACCAATTAAATGATCAATTTTTCCTTCAAAGTCTTCAAAGAAATTGGAAACATCAAGATAGTTAATATTAATGGGTCTGCGAAATGCATTTAAATTCATTTTCCTTTTTCTTTGATTGAGGCTTGATAAAGATCCACCAAATATTTAGGCGTACGATAGATACGTAACCAGTGCCCTATTATGCCACATCTGTAACATGCATCTTCATAATTTTTAGAAGGTTTATTCTGTAAACCTTTTCCCTTTTCTTGTGATGTTCTAGAATGATTCCACTTTTGGAGGAATGACATGGTATTTTTATTTGAATAATTTTGAATATGTCCCCCACGGATCTTATAATTATTCTTACCTTGGCCATGTCCAAAGCTGTGACCTCTCTTTCGTCGACGACCATGAAATGCAACCTCATTCACTTTAGGGAATAGCGCAGAACCGGTTGGACTGGATAGATGATTTCTCAATAATAATTGATTAATTTGTTCAGCCACAAGAAGGCATGAAATCAGTTTAGAATACTTTGAAATATGATGCTCTCCATATTTTTACTGTAGGAGCACATTATCAACGTGAAATGTGGAGAATGTTTTTTCAAACATATCTTCTTTACTAATTTTTTATCCACATAACATTAATTGGGAGATTATTTTAAATAGAGTAGAGTTGTACTTACTAACTGATTTATAATCTTGCAACATCAGGTGCAACCAATCATAATGGTCTTTTGGAAGAATTACGGTCTTTTGGTGCTCGTATCTCTCCTTTAATTTATTCTACAGAATTAGTAGATTTTTTACCACGAGGTACTCATTTTTTAATTCTTGAATATCATTGCCCTTGTGTGATTCTGCAGGGATGTTTCATTTTCATGTTTTATAGTATCTCCAAGATTCATTGCTCAAGGTGGATCTCAACATCAAGAATCCAAGATAAATAATTTTTTCAGAAATGTCAAGAGCTGAGATTCCAATTTTGAAAGATTTGACATGTTTACTACATTTAACAAAAACAATATATTTTGTATCACGTAAATATACTAAGAAAATATAAAATTAGTTTTAAAATTTATTTATACTTATTACAACCACCCAGTAGCATGGTCTTCTCAGCTGGCTAAAATGTCATGTTGATAATGTATTATAAAACTAAAAAAAATAAAGAAAAAATAGTCACAATGGAAGAGGAAATAAAGGATCACACATTTAATACACAATTTTTCTATATATTCATTACCATCCAAACTTACCTATTTATAGGTGATAAAACTTTCAGTATTTACCATTATACATCACACCATGTGATGTACCACATGAGATATCACACTTTCCGCATAGTAAAACTTTTTTCTATTTTCACTTTGACCTAAAATTCATTAGAATTCTAATTATATCTCTTTTTATAATTATTCAAATATTTCACAATAAAATGAATGAATCTGTCGCATCATTATTTTTATATAAAATCTGTTTTCCCACTAAGAAATCGAACATCCACCACATACTTAGAAGTTGGGTCACAATGGGTACCCACTAAAATAATTTTTCTGAGATGAGGGGTAACTTGGTCTTTGAAATGGTCATTTGTTGTGCCCCATAAAATCCCAAAACATTCCCATCTCACAAAAACAAATGTAAAGAGAGGACACATTTTGTTGGACATGTGGAGAGAGAAACAAAGAAACATTGCACTAGAAAACATTTGCACTTGAATCTGACATATTATTACACAAAATAGTTCTTGAAACTGTTTTGATATAAAAAAAAAAGAAAAAAGGAACCACTTATTATTTTAGAAGGCAAAAGCACTGCAATCTCTAACTTGCAAAGCTATTGAAATTACAGAGATTCATAAATCAATCCCCTGTGGATCCATCACAAGCTCTCTCTCTCTCTCTCTTAACACTCTAATTGCAACTCTAAAGACACCTTCCTCCATAGCCTGCATTTCTAAACAATGCCTGCTTTATGTCTTCTGAACTCAACATTGCTCTCTGCTCCATTTCCTATCACCAAAACAAAATTAGGCACAAGGAAACAGTACATACATACATACATATATGTGTAACTTGTTTGTAAAAATTAGTACTTGGGTCTGTTTAGCAATAGTAGTTTTTTTTTTGGCTTCGTCTTTTCAAAGTTGCTTTTAGTGAGAAATTACATATTACTCTTATATTGGGAAGTCCTTATAGGAACACAACGGAAATTATTAAAATATTGAGGATAAAATCATCCTTTTTATAAATTTACTTTAAAAAAAATATATTTTTATATGAAGAAGCATCCCGAACAATTATTATTATTATTATTATTATTATTGGCATTTTAAGCAAAAAAATTGCTTATTTTAGTTCTTTCCAGTTAAAGACTTGTAATCTAAAAGCACCCATTTTCCCATTTCAAGATAATCATTTTTTAAAAAAAAAATATTTAAGTTCCATAACTTTCACTAGACACTGACACAAATTTAAAAGAAAAGAAAAAAAAAAAAAATCATAAACAGTCTCAATAAGCAAGCATCACCAAAGTTAAATCAAAGCCAGAGCAATTGCAAGAATATGTACCTCAGAGCAAGAAGCTTGCATTGCAAAATCATTAAAACAGCTAATAACACACTGTTGAATCTCGAGGCCTAATGCTTCTAAACTAGTCACAGTTGATAGCAATAAACCGGGCTTCGCTGCACAACAGATCTCAATTCGAGTATCCACATTCCTCCTCTCCACATCAAACTGTCAAGAAAAACAACAATGCTAATTCACAAATCAAATACAATTTTGGTTTTTCTTTTCATATTTTTTATTGCCAAGTTCTTAAAAATTGAGATCATACCTTGGGTGAATTTCTGACCAAAACTTCATTAGGCTTCACATCCTTGAAAATGTTCAATAAGTTCAACTGATTTGGAGAACCCACTTCAATTTCCTCTTGCAAATTGTTGATCCTCTCCAATAGTTCTTTCATGTAGTCTATTGTGTCTCCAAGTATTGATGTCCTGTCCATCTATTAAAACAGAATTCATAAATTTTACACAATCTAACAACATTTTAACTTTAAAAAAAGGACGACTGAGATTCCAGTTTTACCTTGCTTATCTTGGGAACAACTGATCTGAGCATCGAAAGCCGGTCATTTAACCGCTTCCTCCGCCGCCTCTCCGCCATGAGGTTCTTTGATGGCTGCCCACCCACCTTCTTCACTTTGCTCTTTCTCTCTTCAAGACACAAACCCGTGTCGAAAACCGGTACTTGGGTGGATTGGATTGGCTCCAATTTGCAATTTGAAGCTTGTAACTCCAAATTGTGAAGGACATTATTCCCAACAAGGCTTTGTTCTTCATTGTTATCATCCATCATTGAGACAGAGTAGTCCTCTTGAGTTGGGAATTGTGGGGTGTGATGAAGCTTGTTTGGAGCTGAGAAGTCATCTCCAAATGGGCAGTAGAATTCAGTGAATGATGAGCAGTTTAGGGTTTGGTGATCAAGTGGCAAAGAGAAGTCTTCAAAGGAAGAATTTGGAGGTACGGGAATTGGGTTTTCAGTGAAACAATCAGTGCTCCATCCATTGTTGTAGAACCCAGTACTCATTCCTACTGTGGGGATGGTTGCTTCTAATGAGTCAGTTCTTAGAGCTAGTAACTCCTCTAAGAAACCTTGTTCATTATACTCCATCTCTTTCCCCCCTTCTCTCTCTCTCTCTCTCTCTCTCTCTCTAAAAAGGTATTTGGGCTTTTGGGGGAATGCTAATCATCCAAGAACATACCTTGATTATATATGAGGTGCACCTACTAGTGCAAGAGTAGTCATGTTGGATGCAATTTTTTGTAAGTTAAATCTTAATAATTAGAAGGGAAGTGTTTGGGTATGTAAAGTGTATATCATATATGTTTGTATAAATTGTCATAAATATAAATAAGTTATCTTATAAAATTGGATAAATTTTCACAAATATACGTAAGGTACATAAAAAATTATATGTGTAAATTTTTATAAACATATATAAGTTAACGCATAAAAAATTAAGAAATCACAACTTATGTATATTTGTAATAATTTACGCAAGTAAATATGACATACACTTGCACACTTAAAAATTGTCCTAATTGAAAATGTATGTTATTTGGTTTGGTTTATTTTAAGTGTTGTAATTACTAAATAGAAATACTTTTTTCAATTTACTTTTAGCTACTTATTGTCTCGTTATAATTTATAAGTAAAAATTATGTCAAATATTTTGACTCGTTTTTTTAGCATTAAAAAAAAAAATACAAGAATCCCAATAAGTTGTTAAGAAATTTACAAGAAATTTCTTTCTTGTGGCTTGACCCCAAGATTTGAATTATGAACAGTTATATAAAAAAGTATATCCACCAACCATTCAGAACATTCCTTACTGATGAACAAATAAAAAAGAACAAGCTTAAGTGTATATAAAAAATTTATAGAATGAAACATTACTTAATTACCAAATCATTTCTTTTGCATGACAAAAAAAAAAAAAAAAAAAACCCACATGAAACCTACTCTGTCTCACATTTATATTTTTGGGACAATTACAAAAAATAAAAAATAAAAAAAAATATTCAAGGTTTTAGCTTTGTAAGTTTTAAATTTTATCAATTCAAATCTCAATTATTTAAATTATTTGTCTATTTTCGTTAAGTAAAATCGATGAAAAAAATATTTTAATCATTAAACTTAATGTAAGTATACATAAAATGCCTAAAATAAATTTTTCATTGATTTTAATTACTAAAATACTCATATTTCTATCAATTTTACTTAACGAAATAAATAAGTAATTTAGATTAAAAATAAATTAAAATTTTAAAATTTAAATTAATAAAGTTAAAAATTCAGTGCTTATTTTGTTATAAAACTTCAAGCCATTATATTTTTTTTGTGTGGGTAATCTCTATCTTATATATATATATTATATATATTATTAGGAGTTATTTGAGATAATCTAAATAATATATTTTGACGTTTTATAAAATAATGTAAAGAAAAATAAAAAAATAATATGACCTAAATAAATACGCTTATCAAAATAAATATATCTATATATATATATTTAGTTTATTGTAAATAATGCTTTAGTGAAATTATTTAGTGCTCCTAGCACAGCTAAAGCTACGAGCATTCCTTCCCAATCCAAAACTTTGAGATTTATTACTCATTTAAACAACTTTATGAATATCATATGTAAATAAAAGCTTATTTAAACAACTTTATGAATATCATATATAAATAAAAGTTATATATAAAAAAAAAACAACTATTTATTTAAATAAAAAATAAATAAAAGGACATAAACAAAAAGAGGGGGGGCTATCTCTTAATTATAAATGAATTATGGTATGCATTATGAGGGTGTTTAATAGGAGCCTAGAGAGACTAATAGACTGAAATGGAATCTGCTTTTTTTCATCTCTGTTTCTTGCTCTGGGTAATCTTATGTCTTTTTCACCGAAATCAGATATATGAAACAGTGTTACAATTTTTAATTTGGAAGTCTCTGAAAACTTTGACCCACATTTCTGTCTGAACCGAAAAGGATTGAGTTAGCATCATAGACCTTGTCAGGTTCTTTGTATGCACAAACTTCTGTACTATTTATATATAAAAAAATAATACACTATTTTTGCTTTTATCAACTTTAACAATTTTTAAATATATGGGTCTCATTAAAAAATACAGAAATGGCACCTTTCTTTAATCTAAGAATTTTAAAAGAGTATTAATAATGTGAAAAATTAAAAAAAAAAAAAAATTAAAGTTAAAACATCACATCACATAGGATTCACACATTAATTAAAACTATTAAAATTTTTAATTTAGAGCTTTCAATCTTTTTTTAAAAAAATATTCTTATTACTTGATTATGTATATTTGTCATTTGGTTAGGGTTTTTTAATTGATTTTTTTGAATTGAGATTTTTTTAATTTAAGGTTAAAATATTTGTTTATGTTGATTTTTTTTTCCTTTCGTGAAAAAAATAAAATGATTATAATTTAGATGTAATATTTTATCTTATTAATTTATTTTATATCTAGTGCTTTTTTAGTCTCAAAAGTCCTAGCTAGACGATGCTATAATATAAAATAAATTATTTATTTATTTATTTAAATTACAGACACATTAGCCACTAATTTTTTTTTCCAATTTGATTCATATAAGATATTATAATGAAATCCAATAGATTACAATTATAGTAATAAAGATAAAATACAATACAAACTTTTACGAATAAACCCTTAAATATGGTAGAGAAAGTCTCAATTAATACATAAGGAATAAGACTCATACATAGGTCGGGAGATTCAAACTATTCACCTTCTATTAGCCACTAATTTTTATTATATAATGTTCTAAAACATGATTTTTAAAACTTAAGTGGCATACAACATATAATAATTTTTTCAGTTTTCAATTCGTATTTTTGTATTTTTAATAGTTTTTAAAATTGTTTTAATCAATTATTTTATTTTATTTTTTTTACGTTTTAGACTCACTTAATCTTGATGTACATTTTTTTAAAAAAAATTCATGGGTTACAACAAAATATGAAAATGTATTGAATTTTCATATTTTTTGTATTTAGTGATTTTTAAAAAAATTCACAAATATTATACTTTTTAACTGTATATAGATTATGTATATTTAAAAAATAAAAAATTTACTTAAAATATTTTAAAAAATACTAAAAAAAAAAATAGAACTAACCAAACATGGTGATTCATGTTATTTGGGCTTCACTTATATCAATAATAAAAAACAGAAATAATGTGCCCTTCAAATATATCAATAATAAAAAAAATCATCATTTTTTTAGTTTAAAATTTAAAATTTTGTTTTTTAATATAACAATGGCTTTTAGTTCCAGTATGTATTAGAGAGTGTTGTCCAAACTTCAAAATTGTGACACATTAATTTTTTATTTATTTATAAATTAAAGGTTTAAATTTTGTTTACTATTGGCTCATTAAATATTGAGTCACTTTTTAAGTTGGACGTAACATTAATTTTGTAAACAAATAACCAAAATTTGAACCATTAATTTATAAAAACATACCGACATGACAATTGTCCATAAGCAACAGACTGTACTTCTAATTTGGAGCTCAGCTCTTTTTATTTTATTTTAATTTAATAATAATTCATTAAATTATATCATTCGTTAACGTATTGTAGAGAGAGAAAATAAGAAAGGATCCAAGCTGATTTCACAATTTCAAAGGAGTTGATGGCTCTTTTGTTCTTTCCTTCAATCTTCACTCATGTTATAGTATATGGTGTATAAATATTCTTTGATAGATCCATTAATTTTCGACAATGCTACGTACCTCAAATTTTGTGGCTTAAAAGTGGCTCAAATGGCCAAAATGACGTCGTTTTGAGTACAGAACAACATAAAAATGGCTAAAACGATGTCGTTTTGACCATTTGAGCCACTTTTGAGCCACAAAATTTGAGTTACGAGACATTTTTCATTACTTTTTAATCTATATATCCATTTGTCTTTAATTTTCCAGTTTCAGAAGTTAGGGTTGATTAGCTCTATCTCATTTACACTTCCCCTGGAAGAAATGTGGCAATTATTATATATAAAATCATGGGCAAATTACATGTACTCCCTCGAGGTTTGGCTAAATTACAAATACTCCTCTGAAGTTTGAGAAATTACAAATTTCCTCCTGGATGCTATATTTGCATAACAAATTATGGGGTAATTTGTTATGAAATTTAAACCTCAGGGGATAAATTGTTATGAAAATACAAACCTTAGGGGGCGGGATGTAATTTTCGAAACCTCAGGGGGTATCTATAATTCAGCCAAACCTCAAGGGAGATATATGCAATTTGCCCTAAAATTCATGTAGGGGACAAAGAATGCATGACACATAATTAATTAATTAAATACACAAAACTATACATATAATGTTTCTTTTATTGATCCATTTTTGGCTTATGTTTTATGTCTTATCAAGTACAAGAATATGTTGATACTAAACCAAATCAAATTAAATCTTATACTCCAATACGATGGGTCTACTATGTCATTTTTTCCCCTAATTGCACTATAGTCTCTCTATGCTTCATTTTCAATTGTTTCAATGCCTACTTGATCAATCAAGTGACTTTAGTTCAATTGATTATTCTTATACGCTCTCAAATGAGAGTTTTATCGATTAATTCTTATTGATTATCAAGTTTTTTTTATAGTTTTTTTTAAAATTTTTATTATGGAGTTTTTCCTTGAATATTATGGTTATTGGTGCACTGTTGAACTTCTTAAATAATTAATTGTCTAGTGTGATTTAATTATTTTTAATATCAATAGACAAAATTAAGCAAAAACAGTTCCAATTAATCATGACATAATAAACAGAAATAAAGACTATAAAAATTACTCAGTAGATGAGACAATCCCTTATTAGGTGTGATGCTTGGGTTCAAAATTGTGCTATGCAACTTCTCATTCTTTTATTCTCTCGTACCAATTGTAAAAATAAAATATATCTAAAATAAAGTTTCTCTACCCAATAAGAATTACAAGAGATAAAAATATTGGAGAAATTATAAATCAGTATAATTCTATAAAAATAATTACAAATTAATGAAAAATTTTATCCATTTTAATAATTAAAGACATAAAATTTCAATATATACGTAATTTCTTTTTTAAAAATATATGAAGAATAATTCTCTCAAAAACATATATCCAATCGGGTCTCAATCTAAGAGCC